GATTGTGAGAGGAGAGCGCTCCCTACTGAGCCCTGACTCTGCTCCCTGCATGGCAGGCCCCCAGTGCTGACTGGGAGGGGGAGCCCCCCCCCGAGCCCCTGGCCCGCTCCCTGCAGAGTGCACTGCCAGCCCATCAGTCCAGCAGCTGTTACGCTGGTGGCCCCCCAGGCAGCCCTGCTGGGCCCTCGTGCTCACCACTCTCTGCTGGAAAATGCGGGGTCACTGAACCCAAACATTCTGCGGGAAAAGAGCAACTTGGGCGAATGTCTAGGGACCCCGTTAGTTCTGGGTTGCAGCTGCGTGAATCTGCGTCCCCTGGAGCTGCTGCGGTGCCTCGTGGGCGATGAATGGGCAGCATCCCCTGGCATTTCGGGGGCAGGGGGGTGCTGCTCTCAGCCCGTGTCTGTGACCTGCAGGGTGGGCTGGGGAGCGGCTGGGGGAGCGCTAGGCTGGGGGCCCCCTCGCCCCCCGGGGGCTGCTCTCAGCCCGTGTCTGTGACCTGCAGAGCCAGATCTCGGCGTTGCAGAACCGCATCGAGCAGCTGGAGCAGCTGCTGGAGGAGAACCACGAGATCATCAGCCACATCAAGGAGTCGGTGCTGGAGCTGACGGCCCACGCGGACGGGCAGCCGGTGCTGCTGCCCTACCACACACCCAACGGCTCCTGGGTGCTGCCCCCCGAGAGCCGGCCCAGCTTCTTCTCCATCTCCCCACAGGACTGCCAGTTTGCGCTGGGGAGCGGGGGCCAGAAGCCAGACCTGCAGGTGAGCAAGGGCCGGGGGCCTAGGTGGCGGGGGGAGCCGCCTGCGGGGGGCCAAGGGGCTGGGGGGTCGGAGGGCGAGTCGCCTGCGGGGGGCCGAGGGGCTGGGAGGTCGGAGGGGGAGCCGCCTGCGGGGGGCCGAGGGGCTGGGAGGTTGGAGGGGGAGCCGCCTGAGGGGGGCCGAGGGGCTGGGGGGTCGGAGGGGGAGCCGCCTGGGGGGGGTGGAGGGGAGGGGGAGGGGGGGGGGGGTGAAGGGCAGGGGGGTCAGAGGGGACTGGGGCTGAGGCTGGTGTCCAGGGGGCCCGGTGCCGGGGTCTGGGGCTAAGGCTGGCGGCCTGGTGGGACTGACGGCCGCAGGCTCGTTGCTCCCACTGAGCACGGTCCCTGGGCTGGCAGATGCTGGCCGTG